GATATAACTCAGGAACTTATTTAAAAGTAATTTTCCATCTGAAAATACATTGACCTTTCAGTGAATTAGCTTGAATATCTCAACGTATAGCAATGTAATCAGTTGAATATATTCTAATTTTATTAGCTGATGTCCATTGTCACTTGTCAGTCCGCAGTGCCTAAGGCAACGCGTTGAACTAAATAAGGAAACCGACTTTGTCTATATATAGAGTGCCAGAGGAGGTGAAAGTGCTGTTGCTCTATTGATTCGTAAACTTCGTATCAGTTCAGTCTGCGCTTACCTTCGATTAAATAAATTATGATTCGCTTTCATTGCCATGCAGTTGGGAGACCAAAACAAATGGCGACACCTTTCCTATTAAGCGCTGCGGCCATTAAAAATTCCATTTGGGGCAATAACAGAAAGTTGGGCCGGCGTAATCAACAGGGAGGCATCTCGGAACGCAACTAAATCGAATCACATTCAATTGCCTCAGTGCTTATCGCCAGCCCCTCACGAACTGCCCACATCAATAATTCAATTGGTCAATCAGACACTTTGACAAATGCAATCGAACAACAACAAAAAAAAGAAGCCATACATTTTTTATGTACCCAATAATATTTAATATAAATATGGGCGAAATTCAATGAATATGTGCGCGTTGGGTTTGAATAAACAAATACTCCGTAGTTAAATACATATATATATACATATATATATACATACTATAATCTATATGATGCTTGAGTAAAATAAACACGTTCTCAAACACTTGATTATGCACGAATATAAATATATGGAACTACATGAAGTGTGACATCAAACTAACAAACCTGAGTAAATCAGCAATAATCTAAACATCTTCAGAAACTGGGAGCTCTATTGACATGATCTATGTGTATAAAATAAAATTTATTTGAAATAATTATATCTTGATCAAAAAACAAGTTTTCAAAATATCACTAGCTGTAGCGTTTTATATGTTAATATGTTAATAATGCAACGTCTGCATATAAATAAAGATATATTTATACATATATAATATGTCATTATTCCTTTCACCTAACTATTGTTTTTCTTAAAGATTTGCTCTGAAAATGAAGAAAACTACCTCAAACCAAGCGGGATTCTCGACCAGCAGCAACACAAAATGGGAAAGAAATGTAAATGGAGGAGAAACAACAACAACAAATACGACAACAAATACAACAACAAATACGACAACAACAACTTGAGACTAGGCACAATGAGCCGCATAAAGTTGGCGCCAGCCAAAACTGAAGGAAAAGAAGCGAAGAATGAAAAAGAAAACTAGATAAACATTCTCATGGGTGGGTGTTATGTTATCGCCTAGTGTACCCGTTCGGGCAGCGTGTAAGACGGGTATATTAGCTTTGCGTGTGCTATATATGTATGTATTATATATGGTATATACAGTGTGTATTTTAATATACGTATAGACAATAGAGAGCTGTGCGAAGATCGGAATAAGTTTAAAGAATGTTTCATTCTTATAAACCACATACGTATATGGACGGTGTTCTATTGAACAGCTGAGCAAGCGCATATTGAACTTGTTGAATAGAATTTCGTAAGCCCCATTCTACTATTCTACACCCATTCTTAATTGATCTAGTATTTATACTTCAAATTTTCGATAATCTGTTGTATGGATCTGAAGATCATTTTAGTAAGTTAGATGGAGAGAGATCGAATATGTGATTGGTAAGGCAGATGATAAAGTATAAAATATATAGTTACCAATGTATAATTAGAAAAGAATGTCAAAAATATTTATGTAAAAACTTCTCTAATTTCTAGCTACTTCTTACTCATCATTCTAGCCTTTAAGACAAATATTAATATTTTCCGAATACAGGCAAAGCTGCTTCGTTTCGAGTGAGTCAGGGTATTAACCAGTCAAGCACAGCCGTTTGACTCTCATTTTATTTAGTTTCTATTTTTATTGTATGGGTGAACTTGACTTTAGTTGAAAGGCAGCAAATGCTTGCAAATGCTCAGAGCTCTTCTTCTTCTTCTTCTTCTAGTTCTCTTAACACGATTGCATTTGAGCCACATTCGCGATTGCAACGTGTTGCACTTACTTTCGCATTGCTGCTGTCATTGCTGGTCTGCAGCTCCAGCTGGGTGGGCGTGGCTAGGGGCTGCTGCCTCTGCTGCCGCTGCTGCTGCTGCTGCTGCTGCTGCTGCTGCTGCTGCTGCTGCTGCGGCGGCGGCTGATCCGTTTCTCTGCCGTAGTAGTCGGCCACGCTGGGCACCAGCAAGACGCCCACCTTATTGCGCGCCACCTGCTGATGGGTGCGGCGAGTGCGCGCCGACAGCATCATGCGGTGCGCCACAAGAGCCATGGCTGCCCCACACGCACCACACACACCGCGCACACACGAACAGAAACCGCAAAGTCAAACTCAGAGTGCAAATGAACACCAGAAGCGGTCGCCGTTTTGATCGAAGAAAATGCTCGCTGCCAACTGAAAAGCGACGCGGCGGAAAAGCCAGCCAGCGACTGCGAAACGCACCGGAAAAGCCACAACAGCAAAACAAAATGGCCAAGCCATCAAGCTGTCCCGCTCTAACACACATACACAGACTGGCTGTCTCCTTATATGCGTGTATGTGTGTCTCTCTGTGTGTGTGTGTGTGTGTGTGTGCGAGCTTGTGTGTTTGCGTACTAAACGCTGCATGTTTGATGAGTCTTTTGTTTTTCTTGTTGTTGTTGTTGTTGCCTTAACGTTAATATTAATGCCCGACGCGACTGTCTGCCAGCTGTGTCTCTCTGCGTGTGTGTGTGTATGTGTCTGTTTGTATTAGTTTTACCAACACGTGCGCAAGACATTTCCCAAATACAAAAAACAACGGAAAAAAAACAAGTGAAAATCCTCCTTAGTTCAATGTAAAGGCTAGCAGATACCCTGTACACAATTCATTTACATGCTTGTGATATACATAAATGCTTCTATTATTCAATAACTATTAACCAAAATAATAACTAATAAGTCCAAACTAATTTATAAATTAAAACCAAGTAAAACTCAGCGCTCGAAGAACAGCACAGATTTGATTCTTCGTTTATTAAAAGAGATAAACTCTAAAAATGGTCCATTTGCGCTCCATGTATTCGCACTCAACCAATATACCCAATTCAGCAAATATTTAGTGGGTAGCACAAATAAAAGAGCGACACAGTCACAAGCGGAAAACATGGAAATATTATTTTTATTATTTTTGTTGTTAAAATATAATTATGAAACATACTAAAAAATATGCAATATAAAAAGCATTTCTGACTGTCAGATACCCTATTCAATAACAAAAATATATACATGTATGAAGAGACATTTTATTTTACTGCATCTCATAAAGTTTGATCCTTGACTGATTCTTTACTTTTCTATGCTTTGTTATTTATAAGGGAGATCCTAAACAGAACAAAAGCATCTATCATATTCATGTATGTACATATGTATATTCATAGATAAGCACATATATATAATATACATACATTGTATATGCATTGTTAATGTATCGGGATATACGCAGAGTGTAACTTATTTCATTTACCGCTCTGCTCTGGCCGACAATTATAATTTGAGTCATGTGAGCACGCAATCACACATGCATATACACGTATTTGTGTATGCATGCATGTATGTATGTGTTGGTGGGAGGCGACAATGGCAGCTTCTAACCAATGTTCCTACTACCCGACCTGCTAAAGCAACTTGTTTACTTGACCTTAGCCATTTCCAGCTGCCAACGACAAAAAACAAAACAAATTAAAAGCGAAGCGGAAGTAGTCGAAATATCATTTTCTTTACATATATCTGCAATGTTTTTATTTTTTGTTTTGCTACTAGAGCTGAGAAATGCGCTGACTTGATGCATCTGATGTTGATGGGATCGAGCAAATTCAATTGAATCTCACGTCCCATTAGCATAGAGGAGCCTTGGCTCACATTGAGCAACGATGAGAAACACCAAAGGAACAAGAGATGAATCAAGCCGGCGTGGAGCTCTTTGTCTCAACTAAGAAATGAATCACTTCGTTTGTCGAGCTTGGATAGTAAATAACATTTAATCCCATAATAAATATAATGTATAGATCGATTATAAAATATATGGATAGCTAGTAAAATTATATCAAAATAAGGTACAAATATACATATATTAATTCGATTCGAAATAAACGGAGGACGATTTCCTCCTACAAAATAAATACCAACTCTATTAGGACGGAAATCCATTGAGAACTTTGCAATTGTTACAATGTTTATCTGGATTATTGGGCTTAAATATTCATATTTTGTACTTACCCTAATACATGTTTAACTGATGAACGAGCTGTATTGAAAGCATGACGTCATTACTGTGAGCGAGCACACACACACATACAATCATACATAGATACGCACACAAACACATATGTACATATACGGAAGGTTAGTTATATAGATGGGTCGATGGGCGGTGTTGTCTAGGCCATTTCTAGCGGTTCTTGAGAAAACGTAACATTTTGCTCGTGTTCTTTGTTGCTTCGTTTTTGTTTGTGCATAAATTATATAGAAATCTGTGCATTCAAGCTGCAAAGTAAGAGAATGTTAATAAGAGAGAAAGAGAGAGATTAGCGAAAATTAAATATAGTTTAAAAAGTTGACTTATAACACGTATGCTCCATTGTCTTGTCCAAAAAACGTCGCCAATTTGAAATGCTTGTGGTTGTGTCATACATAGTCTACAAGCGCTCAGCGCATTTGTTTTGGCTGCAATTACTGCAGTCATAAATACAAGCTAATAAAACCGTAGACAGCACGAAGTGAACATAGGAAACAAATCATGTTGTTACACTATTGTTTTTGAAATTAGTTTTGAAATTAAATTTAAATGTTGGCGCGCATTTAAGTTGAATGCTATGCGTGCAGTAGCAGTTAGCTTGATAGTGTCTGCAACCAGGGCTGCTTTTACGTAATCGATAAACGCTTAGAACTATCGGTAGGGCTGCCAATTTTCCAAGGATATCAATTGTGATGTGCTTGGACACAATTTTTCACAGAAGAGAGTTTATTTAACAAGAATATAAATATAAATGTCTAAAAACAATGTGTTATTAGAGCAAAAGAAAAAATGAATATAAATAATTAAAAGAAGTACAGCTTCCGTTCTGTTTCAAGCTGCGAGTATGAGCTGCGTACCAGGCACTTAAAAGTTTCGCAGACAGAAGTTAAAAATACGAACAAAAATTATGTCGCCCATGTCAAATGCCAATTCAATGGCCCCAACTGAATTAAGTCCATTTGTGTATTGGTCGCAAACAAAAGGTCAGCTGCTGCTCAAGGTGGACCTCAAAGATGCGCAGGTGGGTCACTGAGAAAAATCAATAATAATGTAAAATATTACAGCGGAACAAGTCTAACCGGCATCTGATACTTTTGTTTGTATTTAGGGCGTCGTTGCAGAGTTTACTAGTACGACGCTCTCGTTCGCTGCAAACGGGCATGGAGCACGTGGTCGGAATGCTTATAAATTCCAGATGCGCTTCTTTCTGCCCATCGATGATGAAACGGCGACCTTTTCAGTCACGGACCATAAAATCGAGCTGCATATACGAAAAGCAGAGCCGGCCTGGTGGCAGCGACTCATTGCAACGCCTCAAAAGCCGCACTGGCTTCGCATTGACTTTGATCGCTGGCGGACAGAGGACGATGGGGACCTGAGTGAGGGAACACGAGATGTGCGAGAGGATTATGTGGAGGAGTATAACAAATTGCAGAAGCAGGAAATCGGATATGTGAAAGGTTAAAAAGGAGTCATTTAATCAGTGCCCCTTATCATTCCTTCATTCCTCTTCCACAGAGCATGCAAAGAAGGTTTACTTGATCATCTACAATCTGGCCATGTTTGTAGGGTATTTGCACATACTGCTTATAATGAGTGTGCTCTACATACGCGATGGATCGGAGAGCATGAAGCATACGTACGAATATGTGGGAACATCGTTCAAATTTGTACAGCTGATGCAATACTTGGAGGTAATGCATCCCCTGTTTGGCTACACAAAGGGCAGCCCTTTGATGCCCTTTTTTCAAATCTCTGGACGGAACTTTGTGCTCTTCTTAATGATAGAAATGGAGCCGCGTATGCATGCCAAGCCGGTTGTGTTCTACGTCTTTGTTATATGGTCGCTTGTAAAGATAGTGCGGTAAATGCCATTATATTATATGTGCATATGTGTGCAGATGATTGAATCATTTGGTTCTTATCCGTAGCTATCCCTATTATGTCAGCCAGCTGGTTAAGAGAGACAATGGTCTGCTTACTTGGCTGCGCTATACCATCTGGATACCCCTTTATCCCATGGGCCTAGTCTGTGAGGGAGTCATACTGCTGCGCAGCATCCCCTACATTGAGGAGACGAAACGCTTTTGTGTCGATATGCCCAACAAGTGGAATTGGACATTTGACATGGTGCTCTTCCTAAAGGTCTATTTGCTCCTGCTCGCCCTGCCCGGCACCTTTATGGTCATGTCCCATATGTCCAAGCTACGCGCTAAGAAGTTGGGACGTGGACGAGCTAAGCCAAAAGTTAACTAAGAATATTATCTTCACTAGCTTTAGGATAACACTGTCACACACTCTCTGTTTGCATCCAACTGCTATTTGTTGTATTTTATTTGTAATTATTCGTTTAATTTGAAAGACTTTGTGCCTATATGGTTTTTACACATGCGTACCATTTAAGCATGGTCTGACTTTACGCAATTCACAACCGAAATATCAAACATATAGAAAATAATAAACAAAAATTATTTTTTATTTTGATGCAATCAAATGTTTCCGTTTTTGGGGGAAAATTTGAGAACAAAATGTTTATTAATGATTAGATATATGTATGTATAAATTTATCCAAAGTAATTATTTTGAGCTAGCTATTCAAATAGAAAGTAAATATCCGTCGGCGGAAATGGTTGCCTTTCTTCATAAACCTCATAAAACGTTTGGACCACGATTAGTTAGAATAAAGAGAGCGTTACGAGCTATAAATCGGGAAGAATAATAATAATAATAATCAAAGAGAAAATCCAAAAGAAACGAAAATAATTAATATAAATAAACTATTTCTCTTAGTACTAGGCATCCGTACACTTGTTTGTATCTGGACTTGAGATTGGATTAAAATCTTAATTGTATTTTATTTGACTGCATGTCAACGTGAAGTATTAGGGGAGGCACATACCAAAAGATCTCGTGCATTCAGCTTTAGCATTCTGTCCAGCTTTCTTTGGCGATGATTTGCTGCTTGACTGACCCTCTGGCCCACTCGAAGCTCTGATTGAAATTGTGTTTGCTCGGCAACTGACGCAATTGTTATTTACTTTTCACGTGTAACTATAATCGAGGTTTCAATAATGGATGAGCGCTTGTTTGTGTTTGGTGTATTAAATTGGGTTTTTTCTTAGGCTTAAATCAATTTAATGCCAAAGGACGAATTTCGAATGATAAATTCCGCACAGTGGGGAAATTAATTGATTGACTATTGCTATAGCCTCCAACCACAATCGAGCAACCGAACCGCAGCAAGCGCCGACGACAGCCGCTACATAAATTCACGTTGCAAAATTAAATCGTTTATACCGTTAACCGGGAAACCGAACGCACCTATTGGCACCGATTACATAATACTCTGTTCCTAGAAGACGTGTTTATAGTGCTTATGAGCATATAAAATAAATTATAAAATACAAAAATCTATTATTAATAATTTTCAAATAAAATAATCATACTATCTCGATATGTCAAGCCCTAATCATATATTAAAGATTAACTTGAACAGTGGCCAAAATATTCACTTCAAGCTATTAAATTCAAATTTAAATATACATATGTATATACGTTTATTTCAATTTTTTTTACTAGAAATTCCCATTTTAAAACTAATCTATATGGGTTTTCAGATCAATTTTGCATACCAAACGAACAGACAGACACCAAAACACTGAGGTGAATACCTTATTGTGCTTCTAGGGAGTCAAGAGTATTCAATGCGTTCGTAACCTCAAATATGAATAACTGGATGCAATTTGCTCGAGCATTCAGTATTGACCCCGGAAGAAAACGACCAAAATCTTGACCCATACGCAACGAACCGAACCGAACTAAAACTAAACTGAACTGAACTGAACTGCAGCGGGGTTAACGAACAACTAATCACACTCAGCTCCTCCGCGACCAGAAGGCTCTGCCCAGGACCTTGGTCGGCCGAAATGAGTTTTTGATTAATGTGCCGCACACAGCTGTGAGTGTGTGTGTGTCGATTGATTTTCTTACTTTGTTTTATTTTGGATGAAATAAGTAGCTGGTGCGATTTGTGCAGGCAGAGACAAATGCGTGAGCCAATGGCTCTCGACAGCTGGCGGGGATTAAAGGAGATGAGAGAGTGCAACAATCAGCAGAGTCCTGTTCAAAATTTTGATTTAGTTCACGCTGTGAGCCGGTTCATTCATCACTCTGACCAGCCATAGCATATGACACTTGACAGGAGCTGAAGCCCCGGCCACAAATTGAATGACTTGTGACTTCTGTGCCCTGGTCGATTGAGTGGCATACTTTTTCAGTCTTTGCTGGTATACTATATATGCCATAAAGAGTCCTACAAAAATGGTCTAGGTTGGCTAATTAGGCTACCTGAGACATTTTAACTCTGACCAATCAAACTAGAATCCCATTTAACGGCTATTTGTAGACGTTGACAACAAAGCCTTGCCTTGTTATTTAGAGCAAGCTTAATTTGAGAGGCTCATTTTCAAGGATATAGTGAGTTGACTCGACTGAAATCCGATTCACTTACACCAGTGCAAACATTCATACAAATCTTAAGGAGAAAAGCTTATTTTCGTAAAAATTAAGCCCAATATTCTTTTTTTAGTTATCTCTTATAATTTATTTTATGCATTCAATTATTTAATACCATTATTTTTTTCATATTGGTTTTAAGCTGTGATTTTTTGACCTGATGAACAAACTTGAGCTTTCAGCTGTCAGCATTTTGTTTCGTATTAGCTTTATTCAGATTACTATAAAGGTACACTTTAATAAAGACTAGTTGAATAGATATTTTCCCAAATATACAGATATAACAATGGGTATTGAACCACCAGGCAGACCACCAGGATGAGAACACAATTTGTATAAGGTTCGATAAGTGATCCGCGTACACCCGCGTTACCCAAATATTAGGCAAGATCAGAAAGTGCCGACTAGAAAGTGTTTATAATGTAAATCTTCCATATGTATATAAAGTTCGGGTGCCGATGTTTTTTGTAATCACCGTGCAGATTGCCGAAGCCCAATTAAAGTTTTTGGTGCCATCTCGACGGCTTTGAACCAGCCGAAAAAAAGCCAAGCTTGAATCACAGGAAGCGGAAACAAAATGTGCTTTATTTGGTTAACTTAGACAATCAATAGATATATAATTATCAATAGGAGTGCTCGTGTCTGGGCTATCCATTAAGTTTTGCCTTTACAGTGATTGCGTCGTCAATTCCTCGTAAAATCGCGGTGTTAAGTTCTTTCATTCTTTTATTATCAGCTAAGTAAAATAAATATGTGTGCTTATATATTTGCTTCGAGTTCGAGTATTTGTTTAATTCTCCCATTTACTAGTTCACTTTTAATTGCTTTGATTTCTTGATAGAGTTGATACTGTTTCTGGTGCATTTATACTTGTGCTTTACCCTCCGATCAAGGACTTTCATTTTGTTTAACAGCGTCGAATAGACTTTGCTTCCCTCACACCACAGCGACATTTTAAATCAAAGCATTCCTAGTTTTTGCTCTCCATATAGAACTATTCATTTGCATTCAGGCTTTTGTTTCCATTGGACACTCTTATTTACGCACACCAATATTAGTATTGCATACAATATATTCATAGTTCGCAAATACAAAATATGTTCAACTCTCAGCGCGGCACAACAAGTTCCAATTGTTTTTTAATTCAACAGAATTGTATATAAAATAATGTTCCTTATTTACATTTTCCTATCAAATTTCACATAGTATATGTGATATGGTCAAAATGTCTATTTTGCTATCAGTTGAAAACTGATAAATTACATTTTTAGTAGGGAGCAATCAATCTAGTTGCTTTCGTTATTTACTCCTTGGAAATTGTGTTAAAGGAATTTGAATTTGAATTGAATCACTTTATATAGATGAATTTAAGATTTGGAGACTCAAGTGTGAGATTTCATTTTATAACTCATTTTCGAAATGGTTTTTAATCGATAACAATAAAGCAGAAATAATTGTCGATTTCTGTAAATAAAATCACGTACATAAATTTCAGGTCTCTAGCTCTAAACGTTTCTGAGGTCGACGCATTTAATGGATTCCGCTCGACGTTCAAATGAAGAATATATTTACTCTCCTTTTGCCTGTTACATAGATTTTTATCGAAATCATAATACCCTAATTTGCCAATCCCAGTGCCTGCAGAGTATAAAAATAGAATTTTCATTGCAAATTCGATTATAATACAAAATTGATAAAATAAATGTATAATTCAAAACATTTGTTTTCGATATTTCGGAGATTTTCAATGGAACTAATTGGTTTATTGAATTCCGTTGAGTGTCAATCAATAGTGAAAACCACGTGAAAATTGCCTGTTCCTCTTGTCAGCAAATAAGTTCAAGTGAGTGAATATGTATATACATATATATTATAAGGCACATATCAATGTATACCAAATGCATATGCTTATATAATATATGACTACGAGCGGAACAGATATTTTATGCGTGGCTAGTTGAATTTCTCAATTGGCGCGCTGTCGATGCCTCTTATGTGTGGTAAATAAATGGGGAAGAGGACCCAACCCCCTTATGCATGTGGCATATGAATGGGGTAAGGGGCTACAGCTCCCTCCTATGCACGTGGCATATATGTATACACTTATAATGCTCGGCTTAAATCTCTTGGGTGTTAGGCATCCAAGTTCTGTGCTGCATACTTGTGGCTCGGTTTGAGACAACAGTCTTGCAAATAGTATACGTTCGGATAGGTCACGTACGACCGCTGGCTGTGCTGCTTTCGACCAGTTCTATTCGCTTTTAACCCTTAACAGCATATTGCATTTGTATACATTAAAAGGGTATGCTGGTTGCAGTCTTATGAAGTATATATGTTTATGTATTAAATATAAATTCCGCAATATCAATTGGAATGTAATATGAGATTGGCTTTTAGACTCAAATCAATCAAATTTGTCTATGGACAGATAGTGTAATTTAAGTAATATGTTTCAGTTATATAATGTTTCAATATAGTCATAGAATGAGAGATTTCGATACGCGTGGAGGCCGAATAATTATAAATAAATTATTTTTAATTAATTTCCCGCTTCCACGTATTATTTCAAATGAAAAAGCAGATGGGAAAATTCAGCTCCAGCAAGCGGTATCTACTAGTCGAGCTTCTCTCCCGCTTCCCTTATGGTAGTGTTCTCGAAAGTTATGATAAATGGAGAGCAGCTGCAAACAGATGTTTGTGATAACTGAAAAGGCATTGGCACTGGGTACATAGATATACGTAAATACGTATATATATATGTATATATATATATATGTATGAATGAAAAATGAGCTGAATTGATTGCGCGTGGCAAGTGCGAGGTGTGAGTCCAGCAATCAATTTTCATTAGTTGGCCATAAGCCGCTGAGCTTGGGTTAATGTGAAACAAAACGCATTTGTTTTTACAGCTATAATTGGAACGGGAATAGCGAGAACTTTAACAATGCCTAACAGATTTCATATCAAGTATTTA